GGTTTGCTTTTTTCCAGGCCAGTTACACTTTTTATGTGATGGCATGGAATAAGTATCCCAGTCGTGAAACTTACCTGACCTACGAGAAATGTGTAGTAGTGCCTGGCGCTGTTTGAACAGGATTCTTTCCTTTTGCAGGAGGGAGGGTTCGGAGGCCAATGATGGGGAGACCACCCGGGATGGGCAGGTGAGTAGAGCTCGATGCCAAGCCCTAGGGCCACTGTGCGTGCGTGCGGGGCATAACCTCACCATTTTTCTCATCAGGCGGCCGCTTTTATCCCAGAGGGCGTGGCAATTTAGCATGTGTGGCGAGGGTATGGATGTGTGGGTTCTGGCCAGCGACTAGATGCGCGAATATTTAACAGGACGTGGTGGCTCATGCCTGTAATCCCAGCCACTGTAGGAGGCCTGAGGTGGGTGGGATCATCGCTCAAGTTCTGGGCAAGGTCAGAGTCACCCATTGTGCATCTCAGAAGTAAACGAGGCTTCAGAGCACACAGGAACCCCTGCACTGGGCTGAGAATGAGGTCGGCTGGATGCGCCAGTGCCCACAATGACTGTAGCTAAAGGAGGGGACGGGACCGCTGACCTGTCGATGGCGTGGTCCTGGTACTGGCCCCGGTCTCGATGATCGAAATCGTGGAAGCGGTGGTCTGGCCGGGGAAAGTCCGCGCGGTATCTGTCCTCCATTGCCACACGCTTTCCCTCTGGCCAATAGGCATCATCTCGTCTGGTTTTTATTTTAAAAGAATGCAAATTCCATTTATGAAAGGAGGAGAAAAAGGAAGGAGGTGGAGGTGGGGAGGGGAGCTCTCTCCCCAGACCCAGTATCGTTTAAAATGCCCTGCAGGGCTAATCTCTAAACACTCGATCATCATTGCTTTGATTTGATCAATTAAAACCCCCATTAACAGCCGAGAGGTACACTTGTATTCTCATCCAACAGTCCCGAAAGGAGCACTGCTGTGAGCTCATTGTCTCATGAGACTGTTAATACCCTGATCCCCACTCATGAGCACAAATGCAAGTGAAATGAAATATTTGATTCTTCTGGAATAGCATTCGAGTTGCCACACTTTTACTTTCCCTGCCTTCCACGGGAGCCTGAATCTCCCTCTGAGTTTCTTGCAAAAGCAAAGAGAATTAGATGAGGTGACAGTGAACTACACACAGCTCCGGATGGCATCCAATTATCTTCTTCTTGATTTTTACCAGAAAACTAGGCTCATGGAGAGTGGGGTGACAGGTGACTGTCAATTAAGCTGTTCCAGGTAGCTAGAGACCAATAAACCTACTTTCTAAACCAAAGGCAATTTCCTTTTCCACAGCGCCTGCTCTGCCTCTCTGTCTACAAGGACACGAGATTGGCAGAGACAGCGGTGGCCAACTTGGGCCTAATGGGCATTTGGTTGTCTCACAAGACAGAGAACAGTTATGCTCCACGGGGAAGTGGAGAGGAAAAGCATCACAAACCCTTCAGCAAGTGGCAGCCATCAAGTTTCCCAGAATAACTCAAGTTGGGGGAGATGCTACACAGCCTCGAGTGGTGACAGTGAACTAATAAACCTGCAGCAGCCAGTGAGAGCTACAGGGAGTCCCCAGGGCGCATGCTCCATATCAAATTTCATTCTCCCCCTCCCGCCCCCCTTCCCGGGACGGAAGGGAAGCCGCTGTTCTGTTGGAAGGGTGAACACCGCTGCCACGCTGGCCTCCATCCTGCCCGCGCTCTGGGCAGGACTCACCGATCCAGGTCGTAGGGCCTCCGCCCCGGCCGCCGCTCCTGCTCGTAGCGCAGCTGCTCCTGCTGGCGACGCAGCTCCTCGCGCTCGCGGTGGATGCGCTCCTGCTCCTTCCTGCGCTCACGCTCCACGCGCATGCGTTCCCGCTCTAGCCGCTCCCGCTCCATGCGCTCCCGCTCCAGACGCTGGCGCTGGCACTCGAGCTGCAGGCGTTCCCGCTGCAGCCGGGCCTTCTCCTTCCGCTCATGGAAGGCCTCGAGGCGCTGCTCCCGCTCCCGCTGCTCGCGCTCCCTGCGGGGACAGGCGAGGCTGCCCTGAACCCCCTGTGTGAGCCTCCACGGGGAAAAAGCCCGGTGCCCAAAACTGGGTGTGAATTGGAAGCAGAAAAAAAAATTGGATCCAAAAGCTCACCGGGCTTCCCTAAAGCTGCGCGTGCAGGGGGTTACCTTACTTAAGAAAGTCACCTCAAGAAAAGCAAAGGCAGCACAGCTGGCAACATTTCTAGGTTCGTTCAAGAACATTTTCCAAATGCTATGAGCACAGCTTTTGCTTTACTGAGCAATACTTGAGGAAAAGTGACAAGAGAACGCCGGGTATCCCGACATGAAAACGCCGAATGTCAAGGCAGAGAGGGACAAACCTTCAAGACCACAGCCCAGAATGGAGCCGTGGCAAAATGACAACTGGACTCGGCTTGCAGTTTCTGACCTTGTGTGAGAGGTTTCAATAGGGAAGACGGAGACTTCAGCACCCAGGGACCATCCCATCCCATCAAAGCCACACATGGCTGGGTTTTGCGCACCGGCCAAGGTCCAACACCAGAGGAGGGGCAAAAATAGACTTTGAGCCAGCAGAAGGCTCAGCCTGTAATCCAGCACTTAGGGAAGTTGACGCAGGAGGATTGCTTGAGCCCAGGAGTTCAAGATCAGCCTGGCAACATAGCCAAACCCCATATACTGTAAAGGGCTTCCCTGACTTTATTTCAAGACAGGGTCTCACTCTGTCACCCAGTCTGGAGTGCAGTGTTGTGATCACGGCTCACTGCAGCTTTGAGCTTCTGGGCTCAGGCGATCCCCCCACCTCAACCTCCTGAGTAGCTGGGACTACAAGTGCACGCTACCATGCCCAGCTAATTTTTAAATATTTTGTAGAGGTGGGGGTCTCGCTACATTGCCTAGGATGGTCTCGAACTCCTGGCTTCAAGTGATCCTCTGGCCCTGGCATCCCAAAGTGCTCGGATACAGGTGTGAGCCACTGCACCTGGCCCTTTGATGACTTTCATGCCACCTGGCATGTCTGGCGGCTCATGTGTGAACAGGTGCTGGCCCCTGCGCCTCAAGGACCCAGGTGAAGCACAACACCCGCCGGCCCAGGCACTGGCTCTCGGGCACACAGACTCCTCACTCCAAGTACAGCTGGGAGAAGGACAGCCACCCCCAGAGGAAACCACCAGCCCACCACCCCGCCCAGCTCCACTCACCGCCGCCTCTCCGTTTCTCGGATCTCCCGTTCCCGCTGCCTCTGGCGCTCTCTCTCCCTTTGTTCTTTGATTTTATCAAACGACAAGATGTCTCTCTTTTCTTTGCTTTCTGACTTGCGATCCTGACTCTTGGAGCTCTGTTTACCAAAACTGGTTTATTAATGTCAGGAAAATGATTGCAACAAACAAACACACAATGGAGATTATGCACGTGCGGATGAGACTAAGATTCTTTGGCCCCACATGGTGTAGATGGAAGCCTGTGGTCTCCAGACCGGAGGCCCAGGCATAGGCTGCTTCCCTCCAAGTTTGCGTTTTACTGCCTAATCCAGAATCCTGCTTTCAAATGTCAAGGGGCATTCATGGAAGAGAAGAGGTTGGCCCATGCCTCAAAAAACCTACAGGCACAGTTTTTCTAGCATAGCACAGCCAAGGACTCACATAATCCAAAGCAAACCTAGGCCTCTGAGAGCCATGGGGCACATCCGCACAGGGCCACTGTGGCCATTAGTTCAGAGGGGGACAGCAGTCAGGCCAGCTGTTTGGACAGCTGGAGGGCAGACTGCATGTTTCACATCTCAACTGCTGGCTCAGGACTCAGGCAGACAGCTCTAAATAGAATATGCCAGGCCAGGCGCAGTGGCTCACGCCTGTAATCCCAGCACTTCAGGAGGCCGAGGTGGGCAGATCACGACATCAGGAGTTCAAGACCAGCCTGACCAACATGGTGAAACCCCATCTCAAGTAAAAAAACAAAAGTCAGCCGGGCGTGGTGGCGCATGCCTGTAATCCCAGCTACTCAGGAGGCCGAGGCAAAAGAATCACTTGAACCTGGGAGGCGGAGGTGGCAGTGAGCTGAGATCGCACCACTGTACTCCAGCCTGGGAAACAGAGCAGGACTCCGTCTCAAATGAATAAATAAATAAATAAATAGAATAAGCCAAAATGCTTTAATGCAAAACGGTGCTCCTAATAAGGTACAGAACACTAATAGCCAATGTCTGTAATTTATTTTGTGTAGGTTTTTGGTTTTTTTGAGACCCAGTCTGGTTCTGTTGCCCAGGCTGGAGTGCAACGGCTCACTGCAGGCTCAAGTGATCCTCCCACCTCAGCCTCCTGAGTAGCTGAGACCACAGGTGCACACCACCATGCCTAATTTTTCTATTTTTGTAGAGACGGGGTTTCGTCCTGTTGTCCAGGCTGGTCTCAAACTCCTGAGTTCAAGTGATCCGCCTGCCTCATCCTCCCAAAGTGCCAGGATTACAGGCGTCAGCCACCCGCACCCAGCCTACATTCATAATTTTCTATCTGTGGCATAAAGCTCAGAGCTGTAATGACTGACTCCATTTCAAGGTTCTCCAAGGCCTCACCCAAACTAGCTACACCAGACCCTCCCAGGAAGCTTTTAAACAACACAGAACCTGAGGCCTCCTGCTGATCCACACAGAATCTCTGGGGCAGGGGCCTGGGAAATGACATTGTTAAAAAGCTACTCAGCTTATTTTCCTAATTAGTTCCCATAGGAGAGAAAGAGCAAGCAATGAAAGACAAACCAAGCCAACAGAAAGACAGGTAAAGGTCAAGGCGGAGACATTACACCAATTATTAATAAAATGCGGGCTGGGGAGGAAGGGCATACACACACAGGGAGATATCACCCAGCACTTTGATGGCACGCTTTGCCTATGAGACGAGCAGATGTCTTACACACACTGCAGTGGAGTAAGAAGGGGACAGGTGCCCACGTACCACCGCACAGTGGGCAGCACAGCAGGCAACAGTGCCAGCACTCCTGGGTTCTCAGGCCAGCTTAGCCACTTACTAGTGACCTGGCAGGTGCAACACACGCAGGAGTCCCCTTCACAACCTTTCTGAACAGCACTTCATTTCAAAATTTAAAAGTTAAAAGAAGCTGGGGCTAGTGGCTCACACCTGTAATCCAGCAAGTTTGGAAGGTCAAGGCGAGAGAATCACTTGAAGCCAGGCTAAGCAACAAAGTGAGACACCCCATCCTTTATTTTTTAATAGGTAAATATTATCCATAAAATTAAAAAAAAAATGTAAAAGCAAAAAGAAAAAAAAGCAAAAAGGAAAAAGGCCAAATCTACATGTCTGTATGTAGAGACCTCCATGGCATATTACACAGAAAATGCAAGCTCCAGCACATCCTGTCTGTGGTGCCACGGCACGCACAGGGAACTTGTGTGCAGAGGAAGCCGAGGAGCCCAGCCGGACACACGGAGGCTTTAGTATGCCCGTGCTGCATCTCCCCGAGCTGACCAGATGTTTTAATCACGCACATGTGGTCACTATTTATTTTTCAACATCACAGTGACATGGGGGTAAGATTATGGGTCTTTTTCAATGTTCTACTCTAGATTTCTCTGTATCTTATGATTTTCATGTGAAAAATGACATTAGGAATTGATACTTTATAAAATCCAAATGTTCATTTTAAAAGCTAAGTCTTGGTTGGGCGCGGTGGCTCACCCATGTAATCCCAGCACTTTGGAAGGCTGAGGCTGGTGGATCACTTGAGGTCAGGAGTTGGAGACCAGCCTGGTCAATGTGGCAAAATCTCGTCTCTACTAAAAGTACAAAAATTAGCCTGGTGTGGTGGTGCGTGCCTGTAATCTCAGCTACTCAAGAGGCTGAGGCAGGAGAGTCGCTTGAACCCAGAACGCAGTGGCTGCAATGAGCGAGATCACGTCACTGCACTCCAGCCTGAGCGACACAGCAAGACTCCGTCTCAAAAAAAAAAAAAAAAAAAAAACTTAAGTTTTAACCACACAAAGTGGTCCTGGCTGAATACGGTGAACTCTGCGTTCATTAAAAAAGCACAGTCACCTCACGAACATCTTAGCTAGAACCTGCAGCTGGGAAGCAGAGGTTTTTATTGTTTTCCAGAGTGAAAAACGCAAATGAGATGCTATTTCGTCTAGTTGTGAGCACAACTCGAGAGGCAGCTCTTGATCTGGTAACATGACCAATACTCTGTCCTAGGCTGGTCTCTACCTTTTTGGTTAATTTAATAGAAACTAGAAAATCAATGAAAGAAAGTAACCTGCTATTAAGTCAACCAAAGAGAAGGACCTGCCTTCCAGCTTGAAAAGCCTTGGGTCTGGCCCATCCTAGCCTATGGTGGAGCTGCTGTGTGAACCGATGCTCTGTCGGAAGGCGGCACATCCCAGTCAGGAGCCAGTACGGGGCCAGCACATGGAGGGAAGCAAACACGGAGGAGCACTGCTCTGCAGAAAGCGCCAGGATTCACGTGTGTGTCTGTATCTACAATCTACACAATTATCATGCCTCCTACAAACTCCAAAGAACTCTTTTAAGATTTTAAAGGCGAAACAGCATTGTTTTCATAATGCGAATCAAACGGGTCGTGGAGCCATCGTGAGAAACAGCTGGCCCTGAGATGGCGGAGGCAATACTCACTCTCTCTTTGGACCTGCTGGTGGTTTTCACGCTAATGACAGGCTCTCCTTTCGATTTATCCATCACAACTGTCCGCTCCATTCCTCTGCTTCCTTCAGGACAAAACACAGCAAACTATGAAAACCTGTGGACGCCCCAACTTCCCGTAGTAAACAGCGCTCTGATGGACTCTGGACACACAAGGCGTGAGTCAAGTGACTGACACCAGCCTTGGGAGCCTCTATTTCTCATCTATTGTGAGCGACACAGTAACGCAGGCACAGCACAACGGGGGCACCCTCACGGGTCTTTGTACAACTGGAGGGACCTGTTCCCAACCTACAGCTTAAACCTGCAGCACGCACACAGGCACAGCCGTCCCGCAGAGCCCTCTGTGACCCTCCACACTAAACCCACACAGCTCTGGAGCTGGTCTATGCTGTCACTACTCCCTGACGTTCTGTGAAGCTCTGCAGTATCCAGTCTGTGCTCGGAATCACACTGCAGCTCTGAGGGAGTGCCTTGCCAGACGGGTGGGCTTCCCTCCATTCATTTCCAGCAATAAAGGCTTCCCAACCAATTCTCTCTCCTGACAACAGAACCACCAGGCTCTAAGCACTGGAACAATGACTTATTTGGGGAGATTTATAATACTTGAGGAACATTTTAAAAACACGTTCCTCATGAGACTCGGGGTAAATTAGCCCGAGAGCTGAAGATCCAGCTTGTAATGTGCTGTACCAAATTTCAATGCTCCAGATGGCTGGGTTTTGTTTCTGTTTTTTTTCTTCCTTGATGGGGGAGGTGGAGTTGGCTTATTTTTTTTTTTGCCACAAAACATTCTGAGTCTTATAGAGATTCAAAGGTGTAAAGCACAATGAACTTTTACAAAATGACAACAGAAGTGGCATCGTCCAAATACAACCACTTCAACAGATGCTTGGAGGTTTCAGTTTTCTCTGTATTTTTACTACCTCCAGCTTTAACATAATGTGGGAAAAACTTGACTGCACACCTGCAAAATAGCATCAGGTTAGTTACAAGAAACTTGGACAACTCACTCTTGCGAATCCCACACTACAATAAGCCAAAGGCCCTGAGAAAGCCAGAACTCAGGCAGCTGAGTTCAGCAATACACGTCAAGCCCTGAGTCCCAAGCACTTCTGGATTCCTGATGTTGTATGGAAACTCCTTTAAGCCATTTCATCAACAGACTTGTTTCTTCAACGGTGACATATGAACAGCGAAACAGCCATGTCACCAGAGCTTGCTGTCCTCATCTTCCCTCGGAACCCCACCTACTCACCACCCGTGCCAGGCCTTGGGCCTTACCCTTCCCCTAGCACTTAAAAGACTCTCATCACCTGATTTGGTGACTCTAGACCGACTTGTAGGTCCGGGTTTCAGCTCATCCTGGTCTTTTTCTTCCTTTTTAATGTCTTCAGGCTTTTTTTCCTCCTTCTTCTCAATCTTCTCCTCCTTCTTAATTACGGTTCTATTTAAAAACATGGTTATCAAATTGAGTTCACAAGACTCTGTAACAGGAACGGCTCACCCAGAGCCTCACTCACACATACTCAGATGTCCACGCAAAACAAAATCACCCCGGCGGCAATCAGGTGGGAAAAAATTATTTGAAAACCATAACAACAACAATACTCCTCTTTAGATACAGGCCGTATTCCCACTTCTATTACTTGCTCAACTGAGGGATATGCACAATGAAATTCCTGGGGATGCACTTCCAAAATGCCAGACAGGCTGGCATGCAAGAGTGGCGTGCAGGTGGAGACGAGAAACATGCCAACTACATGAGAACACTTCTAAAAAGTTTACTTTAATGTTTCATCATGTATGTGTGGAACATTGTTTATAAGCTTTATAGGGAAAAGCATTTCTTCCCAATATAGCCTCAATAGGATAGAGGCCCAGTGGCAGGACGCCAAGCCCCCACTGCACAGAGTGGCAGGCCATTTACCCGTGAGGCCAACACCCCTCGGTTAGTAACTACTGCATACTTTTAGGGAGTTAAATGATGTGTTATGTGCCAGTGAATACGGGAAGGTGTTAAGTGCCATTTCAACCAAAAGCAACTTTCTTCTAAGCAGTGAAATAAATCATCTTCACCACTCAAACTCAGCTGCCGCGTTCCCTAATGCCATTCGTCTCAGGCAATTAAACTGCACACTGACTCAACACCAACAATGTGCCAGGGTCCAGGCAGGAAAGTCAGGCCTCTGCAGGGCCCTCCAGCAAGCACCTGTTGGCCTCTCCCCCACTGACCCAGGCAGGGTTCCTGGCAGAGCTCCAGCCATGCCAGGGAAGCCTCTGATTGCCCCATCTCCCTTGCCCTTCTCAACCTCCACATCATGGAGTTGTCTTTTTTTAAAAAAATAATACTCATTTTGAGAAAAACTGACTATTGTAAATCATCTTATCTCCTCTCCCTCATCCCTATGATGACCACGAGGGCGGCCTTACTGTCAATCACTGGGTCTGCCTGACTGCGGTGATCTACGGTGACGTTTTATAGAGTGTCTTAGGCGTGACATGAACGAGGTCATACTTCATATACTGCTCTACAGCTTACTTTTGTTACCTCAAGGTATGCTTTAAAGAAGGGTCTTTAGGCTGGTCATGGTGGCTCATGCCTGTAATCGCAGCACTTCGGGAGACCGAGGCAGATGGATCACAAGGTGAGGAGTTTGAGACCAGCCTGGCCAACATGGTGAAACCCCATCTCTACTAAAAACACAAAAACATTTAGCCGGGTGTGGTGGCGCATGCCTGTAATCCCAGCTACTCGGGAGACCAAGGCAGGAGAACTGCTAGAACCCAGGAGGCAAAGGTTGCAGTGAGCCGCGATTGCACCACTGCACTTCAGCCTGGCAACAGAGAGAGACTCCATTACAAAAAACAGAAAAAGGAAAAAAAAAAAAAAGAAGGGTCTTTAGATCCTGAGACAGAACTCAGGGGGAATAAAAAGGAGGTGGCTGGATACAGGCGTGGGCTACCACTTCCAAGTAATTTTTAAATTTTTGATAGAGACAGGGTCTTGCTCTTTTGCTCAGGTTGGTTTCCACCCTGGCCTCAAGCAATTCTCCCACCTTGGTCCTGCAAAAGACTAGGATTATAGGCGTGAGCTGCTGCACCTGGCCCCAAGTTGAAATAAATAGGCCCCTGAGTAATGGGTGTCAGATGAGCCCTCATGAGCTTGCGACGGGGCAGGACGGGACAGGGCGGGGGTGGGGGGTTGGCTCCTTTCACCTGCCGCACAAGATTCTGTGTTTATTCATCTGCTTTCCTTCTAGTAGATAAATATATGTGCTGGAAAAAAGACTGGAAGGATATCCAACAAAAAGCATCATCCCTGGGTGCTGGGATTACACCTGACATTTACATGTGCTTTCTGGATAACAACTGTATAAAAACCAGCACTCATCCAAGACGGCAAAGGCGAGCCCCTCTTCTTCCCTTCTTTGGAAAGCTTCTCTATTTCACAAGACCGACCACCAATCTAGAAATCCTTCAAACGGAAGGAAAGGCTAATGAAGGTGTCAATTTGAAGGAAAAAATAAGGTCAAAACAAATTTTAAAATGCTCAACCTCCTAGGCAAACAACCTGCAGGAAGTTTGGTCTTGAAGGTCTTAAGTTCATCACCCAGTTAAGAGCCATGGGGCTCCGAGCAACCTTCATAGGCTGAATCCCAGCCTTGCCGTTTCCCAGCAAACTCAGGCAGGACGTGTTCCCCTCTCTAGGCCTGTATCCTCTCCTACATAGAGCACGTGCCTCCCAGGGCTACTGCAAGGACCGAGAAAACAGCTGCATTCCCAATGCTGGCCACAGGACCATGCCATACTGTTAGCTAATTATTACCACCTTTCCCACAAATACAGAAAAGCAATGAATGAAACACAAGATACCAAGAATACCGCAAACCTGCAACAACAGTTCCCCATCTTCCACCAATACAGACCTTTTTTTTCTCAGCAATGCTGATGGGATGTGTCTTTTTGAAGTTGCGATTAAATTAGAGTGCTCACCAACCCCCCGCCCTGCTCCAAGTTCATGAAGGTTCATCTGACACCCATTACTCAGGGGCCTACTTATTTCAACTTGGGGCCAGGTGCAGCAGCTCACGCCTATAATCCTAGTCTTTTGCAGGACAAGGTGGGAGAATTGCTTGAGGCCAGGGTGGAAATCAACCTGAGCAAAAGAGCAAGACCCTGTCTCTATCAAAAATTTAAAAATTACCAGGGAGTGGTAGCCCATGCCTGTAGCCCCAGCTACTAGAGAGGCTGAGGTGGGAGGATCACTTGGGCTTGGGAGGTCAAGGCTGTAGTGAGCCATGATTGCGTCACTGCACTCCAGCCTGGGTGACCCATCTCAAAAAGTAAAATGCTTTTTAAAAATAATAATTCCAATTAAATATAATTCCAATTTGGCCATGATGTAAATTGGTAATTACATCTTCAAAAACCCAGTTCAACTATGTCCACAGACATGTTTACCCTCTAAACTGCATTGACAATGTAAACTTAAGGCAGACACTCAGCCTTCTGAGACATTGCCCTGATCAGATACACCACCAAAATCTACCTTCTCAAAAGCCTACAATTGTGTTAAAAATATAAATAAGCCACACCTGCCTTGAAAGATCTGTCCCTACCTCCATTTTGATTCGATATAAATCACCCCTTTATAAAAATAGGACCTCAGACCCATGGTTCCCAACCACTAGGCCAACATACCCCAGGGTGCCACCGTGAACTCACAGGGTGCCTTGGGATATTTTTAATTTTGAAGTAAACACAGCAATACTTGCCATCTGTCAGACACAGCACCAACCAACTACTTGCTCAAAGTCATTCACTGCAACACTAGACCAGGCTACATTCCTTTGGATGATGTTTTATCTTTGAAAAACTGGGTTTATGACAGTTGCTGTGATTAGTAAGTGAGAACTACATGAAAATCAACATGGATGAGGAAATGATTCCAAGGTCTGAGAGGCTGTACAAGGGACCAGAATATGGAAAAGGACATACAAAATAGTATTCTTTCATTTTGTGTATACTGATTTTTCAAAAGGCTAATCACTTGTCAGGACACAAATACATGCTGAGGATCATCTGCATCCACTTTTTAAAGACACGGGCTACTTCGTTAAATAGCTTTAAACAGAAAGCTGAAGATGGGCAGTGCGTGGTGGTTCACACCTGTAATCTCAGCACTTTGAGAGGCCAAGGCGGGCAGATCACGTGAGCTCAAGAATTTGAGACCAGCCTTGGTAACGTGGCGAAACCACGTCTCTACAAAAAATGCTAAAAGTAGCCTGGCTGGGTGGTATATGCCTGCAGTAGTCCCGGTTACTTGGGAGGCTGGAGTAGGAGACTCACTTAAGCCTGGAAGGTGGAGCTGCAGTGCTACTGCGCTCCATCCTAGGTGACAGAGTGAGTCCCTGTCTCCAAAATATAAATAAATAAAGCTGAATATATAAGTGGCAGCAGAACACAAAAATCAGCTGAAACTCCAGCAGGAAGCTGGAAAGGCTGCGTGGGTAGAGGTGGGGACAGAGTGTGTTTTTCAAGGCCCACGGTGGCTGCCCTTGCCCTCCTCCCAGGGATTCCAAGAGGAGGTTTGAAAATTCACTTTACTTTTCAATTTTGATCTCCACAGAATGATGTCTGTCGACACTCGATAATTTTTCCTTCTTCACTTCGCACTCTTTTCTGTCGGAAAGCTTTTTCCCAGCAGGCTCGTTTTTGGCCTAAAATATAATACAGACAGAAATGATGTGTGGCCCAGGCCTTCTCACTTGCAAACTCCATTTGCGAGTTACCATAGACGAGAACTGCCTCACCTTCTCTACGGAAATCATTCGTCCATGCAGCTCAGTCCTGTGGAGATGGCTGATGCACTTGGTCGCCTCGTCAGATGTTGACATGGTGACAAATCCATAGCATCGAGCTCCCGGGCTGCGGGCGTTTGTTACCACTTTGGCCCCAACAACCTTCATGAAAAAGGGCACTCTTACTGTCTCTTACAAATGACCACACAACTTGCTAAAGTTATTACCTGACAATCAGAATCATTTTCACTATTTGTCACCTTTCCCCATATTAGTACTTTTCCACTATTAGTTACTGAATTGGTTCCAATTAATCCTGACCTATCCAAATACAATTGCTTTTTTTTTTTTTGAGACACAGTCTCACTCTGTCACCCAGGCTGGAGTGTAGTGTCCTGATCTCAACTCACTGCAAGCTCTGTCTCCTGGGTTCAAGCAATTCTCCTGCCTCAGCCTCCCAAGTAGCTGGGATTACAGGCACTGGCCACCACGCCCAGCTAATTTTTGTGTTTTTAGTAGAGATGGAAGTTTCCCCATGTTGGCCAGGCTGGTCTCCAACTTCTGACCTCAAGTGATCTACCCCAGTCGGCCTCCCAAAGTGCTGGGATTACAGGCATGAGCCACCGTACCCAGCCACTAAATACAATTGCTTTTAATACAAGATCAGTCATCACAATGAAAACACACAAACATGCAAGGTTATAAAACCATTAAACTTCATTACTCACAACTAATAACCAGAAGTCCTATCCATCCACATCGTTTTCTCTATTTCCACTGTGCCCACGAACAGCTGTGGGGCTACTAAGCAACGCACCCATCCACTCCAGCTGGGCCCGAGAACAGCTCTGACTCAGACCCGGACTGTCGGGAATGTTCCCATGGGGAAAGGACTTCCACTTCTGGCCGAGACGGGAGAACTAAGCATTGTCTTCCTGCCTGAAACAACTGACAAACGTGATGAAACGTAGGCCGTGATGGTTTTCAGATCCTGGACATCAGGCTGCCCGAGACAGCGATCCCTGAGAGCTTCCTGACTGCCCCTGCTCACTGCCTGGAGTTCCCAGGCAATGGGGGATGGGTAAAATAGCACTGAGATTCTGAGACCAAGGAAGAGAGAGAAACCACAGAACTGAGGATCAGAGAGGACACAGCCACACAGAGCAAGCTGAAGAGACCCACAGAGGGCTCCTCCCGCCCAGTGCATGTGTGTGCAAGGAAACCAGAGGCTGGGACAGCACCACTCATAAGGAGCAGAGGGAACAATCACTGGGGGGCACTCAGGGCCACAAATGGTTTGCTCTTCCCAATAGCCAGGGTGGAAAGGCTGGTAATTCACGGGCATCAGACCCACTACTCAGAGGGCATTGCCCAGTGGTGAGACCAAATCAGCCCAAACTGAAGGCTACTTTGACCCTGACTTAGCATAAAAGCCCCACAAGGACCAAAGTGTGTCAAGTACCTCAGCTGTGCACCAGAAAAAAGCTCAAGAGTATTTGTAGAGATACAAGTATAACTAGCACCCAACAAAATACAATTCACAACATCCAATAAAAAATTACCGGGACAGGCTGGGCACAGTGGCTCATGCCTGTAATCCCAGCACTTTCTGAGGCCGAGGTGGGTGGATCACTTGAGGCCAGGTGTTCAAAACCAGCCTGGGCAACACGAAGAAACTACATCTCTACCAAAAATTTTAAAAATTAGCTGGGTGTAGTGGTGTGGTGTCTGTGGTCTCAGCTACTCAGGAGGCTGAGGTGAGAGGATCGCTTGAGCCTGGGAGGTTGAGGCTGCAGTGAGCACCACTGTACTCCAACCTGAGCGACACAGTGAGATCCTGTCTCTATGGGAAAACAAAACAAAACAAAAAACAGAAGAAACTTAAAAGCAGCCAGAGGAAAAGAGACAAATTGGAAACTAAAGGAACAAGGATTAAGTTAACCTACAATTCTTTTTTTTTTTTTTTTTCCTAAGACGGAGTCTCGCTCTGTCGCCCAGGCTGGAGTGCAGTGGCCGGATCTCAGCTCACTGCAAGCTCCGCCTCCCGGGTTCATGCCATTCTCCTGCCTCAGCCTCCCGAGTAGCTGGGACTACAGGCGCCCGCCACCTCGCCCGGCTAGTTTTTTTTTTTTTTTTTTTTTTTGTATTTTTTAGTAGAGACAGGGTTTCACCGTGTTAGCCAGGATGGTCTCGATCTCCTGACCTTGTGATCCACCCGTCTTGGCCTCCCAAAGTGCTGGGATTACAGGCTTGAGCCACCGCGCCCGGCCAAGTTAACCTAGAATTCTATACCCAGTGAAAATTTATTTCAAAATGAAGACAAAGTAAAGACTTTTTCTGACATTCAAAAGAAACAAGAACACATCACCAGCAACCCAACACTACAAGAAACTTTCAGTTCCTTCAGGAGGGAAGAAGATGATCTCCAACGGGATGTACAACAAAAAGCAAGGAAGAGCACCTGGCGAGGTGAACATGATTTTTTCCAGTCATTTCTGGGTCTCTTTAAAAGATAACTGTTCGGCTGGGCGCGGTGGCTCACGCCTGTAATCCTAGCACTCTGGGAGGCCGAGGCAGGCGGATCACGAGGTCAGGAGATCAAGACCATCTTGGCTAACACGGTGAAACCCCGTCTCTACTAAAAATACAAAAAATTAGCCGGGCATGGTGGCGGGCGCCTGTAGTCCCAGCTACTTGGGAGGTTGAGGCAGGAGAATGGCGTGAACCCGGGAGGCAGAGGTTGCAGTGAGCCGAGATCGCGCCACTGCACTCCAGCCTGGGAGACAGAGCGAGGCTCTGTCTCAAACAAACAAACAAAAAAAAACTGTTCAAAGCAAAAAAGCCAAACCACAGCAAGTCAAAGCCAACAAAATACTGGGTGACTTCTTCAAGAGAAGTAAACTGTATGACAATAACATCACGAAGATCGACAGGAGGGGAAATGCAAGTATATTCCCGCGGATAGTTCTTGCACTACACTGAACCCAACAGAGCACCACTTGCAGACAGACTGTAAGGGAAGATGTGTACTGTAATCCTACAAGCAGCCAGTAAACCACAATGACAAAGAGAGTAAATAAGCCATCAGTCATCAAAGGACTCAACCCACAAGGCGGCAGATAAATGGGAAAGAGATAAATGAACAAACATCATGAACAGAAAACAGACAGCAAGATAGCAGATTCAACGCCAGCCCCACCAGCACTGGCGCACAGAGTGAACGTTTCCCCAAAACACAGGAGTCCTGCTCTCTGACCCATCTCTGACTCAGTGGGTCAACCTGAGTAAGGCATTCCCCGTCTCTGGACCTCATGGCCCCAACTATGAAATGACAAGGTGGAACCCACACGCTCGAGGTTCCCATCAGACTATGACGTCCTGTGGTTTAGACCACACAAATGGAGGAGTCGAGACTCTGCCTGAATGTGTCAGGGCCAAAGGGACAAAAGACTCTCCTCACAGAAAGACAGATGCCACTTCCCATATCACAGCTGAAGCCAATGATGACGTCATTCTACCTTACCATCAAATTAATCATCCTTACAAGGACATTTCTTCTGACAGACAAAACCCAAATGAGAGGAGGCACCATACTAAGCTTGTACGTCCCCATCCCTGGGCAGTGCCATCCGCCCTGGAGCTTGTCACAGCAGCCTCTGCATGCTTCAGTCAAGTAGCCGAGTGGTGTCCTGCCCCTCTGGCCTTCCTACGTCCTCCTGTTTTTGTTCAGAGCTGAGACCCACAGGCAAGGCCAACTCTATCACTCACGCCTCGGCTGAATGTCACTTCTTCAGCGAGGTCTGCTGAAGCTGTCTCCCGAATCTAAACATGGTCTCCCCAACATACTGATAGCGTACTCTAACCTTCCTTAATAGGCTCATCACAACACATATGTGTTTATTTCTTAAACGGTCTTTTTCCCATCAGACTAAAAAATCTGTGATGACAGTGACCATGTATGTTTACTTCTGCTTAATCATCAGTGTCTGAGTGAAGTCAAAAAAGTAACTGAAGAAACGGGTTATTCATGGTTATAAGAATTTCCTAAGCCCTTGTTGAACACACAGACTGTTAAGAGAAAAACTGAACTAAATGCTTTCTCTGGGTCCTGTCTGCTTCTTAAGCAATGAAACATTAACCAACACCTGATCGGGTGACACAGACCTAGACAAAGGAACAGCTTCTGTAGCCAGAAGGCTGTGTCAGACAGGCCCCGCTCTGCCTGGAATCAGGGCACCGTCCAGACACTAAATGGTGAGTCTTCTCCTTTGGAAGCCACTCCCCAGAGGCACCCAGGAGACCAGGGGAGTGCCAACTGCTTATCAGAAGACTCTTGGTTAAGTGCGGTGGCTCACATCTGTAATCCCAGCACTTTGGGAGGCCGAGCAGGCAGATCACATAGGTCAGGAGTTGGAGACCAGCCTGGTCAACATGGTGAAACCTCATCTCTACTGAAAATACAAAAATTAGCCAGGCATGGTGGTGGGTGCCTGTAATCCCAGCTACTCAGGAAGCTGAGGCACGAGAATCACTTGAACCTGGGAGGCGGTGGTCGCAGTGAGCCAAGATCACACCACCGCACTTTAGCCTGGGTAACAGAGCGAGACGCGGTCTCAAAAAAAAAAAAAAAAGAAGACTCTTACATTAATTCATTCCAAACAGTGGAATCATTTTAAATTGTCCTCCTCAACTTCCTTTGGAAAGCTGCTGAATTGTACTATTTTTCTCCTGCCCTCATAAGCAGCATCTTAGTGATTTTTGAACCACGATCATGTCAGACTATATACTTAAAATGCTAAATTATATGAAAGTCAATTATTCATGTCATTCCTTTTTTTTTTTTTTTTTTTTTTTTGAGACAGTCTCACTCTGTTACCCAGGTAGGAGTGCAGTGGCACAATCTTGGCTCACTGCAACCTCTGCCTCCTGGGTTCAAGTGATTCTCCTGCCTCAGCTTCCCAAGTAACATTCTTTAGAAGCAAAACTACAATTTCGTCAAGAGACAGCGGTTAGCCATGTTGGCCAGGTTGGTCTTGATCTCCTGACCTTAGGTGATCTGCCCGTCTCAGCCTCCCAATTTATTCTTAAGGGAAAAAAACTGATCATGTCAGCTTTAAGTTTTGCTTAGGACAAAAGACCATAAGTCTCTTTGAGACCAGTTAGAAAGAACCCCAAGAACACTGAGATGGAAGCTGTTTATACCGCTGTTCTGAGCACTGCTGTGATATGACCAACCACGTGCCCTGCTCGGCACCCTAGTTACTGTGAGTCAGGAAATAAGGTGCACTGCACAAGACTGGGCAAGCTTTGTTGCTGTCCTTTTTTTTTTTTTTCAGACGGAGTCTCATTCTGTCGCGCAGGCTGGGGTGCAGTGGCCAGATCTCAGCTCACTGCAAGCTCCGCCTCCTGGGTTTACGCCATTCTCCTGCCTCAGCCTCCCTGAAGTAGCTGGGACTCCCTGAGTAGCTGGGACTACAGGCGCCCGCCGCCTCACCCGGCTAGTTTTTTTGTATTTTTTAGTAGAGACGGGGTTTCACCATGTTAGCCAAGATGGTCTCGATCTCCTGACCTTGTGATCCGCCCGTCTCGGCCTCCCAAAGTCCTGGGATTACAGGCTTGAGCCACCACGCCCAGCCATTGTTGTCGTTTTTTAGTAAACACAAGGTCTTGCTATGTTCCCTGGCTGGTCTTGAACTCCTGGACTCAAGCAATCCTCCTGCCTCAGCCTCCCAAACTGCTGGGATTATAGATGTGAACCACTGCACCCGGCAGAGTTTCCTTTTTAACTCTGATAATCACAGTGGACGGTATGAGGCAAGGGAAGGCATACCTTCCCATACTTGCTGAAAAGGTTCTTGAGATCCGTAGCTCGTGTTGTGGAGGACAGCCCGCTGACCCACAGGTTCCGACCAGAACTGCTGCCAACTCGACCTGGCACGAGAGGGAGATTCTTAGGCATCAACCCAAGGCCTAACAGGAAGCACAACCATTCTTAAGATCGCAGCCCTCTTTAAAAGCCCTAACGACGCCCAATCCCAACTGTTGACTCAAGAATTTATTGCACACACACATGCCAACACACAGAAGGCAGAAAATCTGGACAGCAAAAACTGAGTTTCCTTACTCAAGGAATAATCATGCCCATGTCAGTTATGCACTGAAATGTCTTTTGATGATCAGATCTCATCCAAGACAGCAGTCTCTAAAGTCCTTGAAACAGTCTTCAATGAGCAGAATTATTCCTTTCTTGTGCTTTTCACTATCCCATAAATGACAACCACAAGAGAAATATAAAATGCAGATGCTTGCGAACTTCTAAAACTAGTCTCTCAAGAAACCATTAGGTGGTTGATTCCAGTAACCCATAATAAAACAAATTACTGGATCCAAAGTGTGGATATCTGCACGCCCCTCCTCCCAAAATAAGGGATCCAAACATGGCTCCCTACCACATAAGTTAAATCATACCTTTTTCATCTTTAATGATTGGCTTTATATCTTTTTCTTCCTTAAAAGAGCTAGAGACAAAAGTTAATGTTACTCATACAGGAAAAAAACGAAAGAGAACAAAACTAAAAATATGATTATGTGCTAAAACTGAATACCTACCAGAAAATTAGTCTGAAATAAAATTTTAACAGACACCTCTGCAAGCTTATATTGGAAAATCTGACCCCAAAAATACAATGTCAGATTTGTAAAAGTCAATTCGATTTAGCTGAAGATAACGATTAACAATTTAAGAACACAACCATGATAGGTTGAGAAAAAGAAAAGGAATTGAATCACCCATTAAAAACACACAGAGAAACAAAACATTCTTTAGAAGCAAAACTACAATTTCGTCAGTCTGGCTGGCCAATTGCAGAAAAAAACAGCTTATGTGTGTCATTAAATGACCAATGAAAAGGAGATAGCGTCTGGTCTAAAACTGAGAAAAAACAAACCTCATTTTCTGATCAGCGCCCTCACTGGTTGAGGACTCTTTAGGAGCCGGAGGGACTTCATTACAAGCTTCAAAATCAAACTTCCTCCCGTCTTCTTTGCTATCTCTGGCTTCTGGGCTTGCGGCTTCCGTGGGTGCTTCCGCGAGCTCCTCGCTAGAGGCCTCCGCGAGCTCGGAGGCCGCACTACTCTGCTCAACTGCCGGCTCTAGCCCTACAGGCTCACAGTCCGTCCTCTCGCCATCGCCTGGCTGCTCCGCGGGCTCCCTTTTCACTACCGCTAACAGGCTGTCTGCCTTGCTCGACTGAGCGTGTGCTGTTGACTCGCTGGCCAAATCTAAATCACCCTCTTCCGGATGGGCGCTGTCAAATAGGTCCTCTTCCTCCGCAAGCTTTCTGTCTGGCCCCACGCTACTTGTGTCCTGTGCAAATGGCTGCTCCAGCTCGGAACTTTCTTCTTTTACTGGCTCAGATTTACAAGTTTCCCCCAAAATGTCGAGTATTTTCTCATTTTCTACGGATTTAACAGGAATAGAATGGCACAAGGTTTAATTACCAGGGAAATAAAGCAATCACAAATGTGGAACTGGCACGGCTGCCACACTAACACGAAGAGAACTGCTAGCTACACAGAGATTGGAAAACCCGCGGGTACACAAAGTTATACTGGTTACACTACCTGCGCTGCGACCGCCTCTAGGTAAGCCTCTACGCTACACGGAAGAGAAAAGGCCCCCACAGATTTAAAAACCTACAACCACGCGGCTGCTTCTCAACAGTCTTCTTCGAGTTTTTGTTCAAGTCTGGGTCTTCTGACTGATTTTCCAATGTCCAAGGTGCTGAACCGAATGCAATCACCATTCAACGACAGCTCAATTTCCAAATTTCTTTGAATTTCTTTTAACAGAACAATCCAATATGAAAATCAGAATCTCTTCTGACGGTGGGAGATAAACGCAGTCCGGAAGGGGAATAATATGTTGAAAATTTTCACGAAGAAACTCTGTTTCCTCTTCTGGAATCCAGTCACTTCTCAGGTGGTAAGTGCCCTGACAACAGCTTTTTCCTGCCTTAACTGCGTTAATCAAAACGACTGCAGCAAAATATCACAAGATCTGTTTCATGTGTAGAAACACATGGAGGAATCATGGGGACAGGGGGAATTAAATGCCACTCTACGTGGTTAGAGATGAAAATAATCACTACATTGCACCAAATGTATTTGACCTCAAGAAGCCAGAATGGCTCTTCTACAGATCTGGTGATACGAATGGGTTTCCAATCTCTGATCCTTGTATGATCTGGATTGTCCACCATTAGAGCAATTTACAAGATCATAACACAACTTAAAATATAGACAGCTTTAAAATAATAGCGTGAAAACTTTCAAACCATAACTGTCGTGTTTCTCTTATCAGTACCTGGCTCCAAAAGAGATTCTTCAATGTCCTATTTAAAAAAGAAAAAGCAAATCCACAAGTCACTTTAAACACGGGGCAGATACATTTCACCAACAAATACAGCTTTCAATCATCTGTGAATAAATGCCTGTTTCCACAAAACTTTCTCCTCTCCAAAAAATGTATTCCAGGTTACAATAACTTGATGAAAACCAGTTTATTTTGCCAGTTCCTCTGGTAACAGCAGGTCCCTAGTGATAACAGTCTGTCTGATTCTCCCGAGTCTGGGCCCCGCACAGACGTGCCACTCACCCCACGACCAAGCTGACCTAGTGGCTGCTGCAGCTGGCAAAGACCCCCTTTGTCAGAGGAGAGGTCACAGTGGATTTAGGAAAAAAATACTTTTCCCAACATAAACTTATTTGTAACTGAAACCTGTTAAAACAAAATGATCTCTCTGCTCTGCTGAAAACCTCTTCCAACATCTGGCTCACTTAGGACAATAGGTCCAATCCTTCTGGTAGCCCAGACTCAGCGAGGTGGGCCCAGCTGCTCTGCAACACCCTCTGGCTTCTCCCCAACCCTGTGTGCTCCCCTCTCTCTTCTGCATCAGAGCCACCCCCCACACTTTCTGCTCCAAATTCTTCTTTCCCTCTTCAACCTATCCGTCAGACCTCAATTCAGACATAACTTCCTCTGGGAAGAGTTCCAGGCACTTCTGAAGTCCAACCACCACAACTGCTCCCTCATCACACTTCTTTCTCCCTTCTGGTTACATACTTGGTTTGATCCCACTGCCCCTGCTAGATGGCCAGCCCTGAAACTACTTCTGTTCTGCTAACCTCTTAACCCCAGTATCCAGCATAGTATCATTTCCTTATACATACACACTGCTCTTTCACTGTGGAACATCAACCACTTGTTTAACATTCCCAGTGATGCAGAACCAGATGGTAACTTACCGGAGTTACTTTGAAGTTCAACGATGAAGTTTCTGAAGTGTTCTTGAATCCTTCCCCATCCACCTGAAAAACAAAATGGAAGATGACTTTGTGGAAGCTGGAGCTGTGAAAACCAAGGCCAACACCTCGCTTAGGCAACCTGTGTGTCTGTTTCCCTCACAGCACCTTTTGCCATCTAAAAGTCTACTGTTGGGTCATTCAGTTCAGCGCTTGCCTCTCCGCCAGAACACACGCTCCACGCCTCTGCTCCACCAGCGTCTCTGGCAGTGGCCTGCAGGGGGGTATGCTGCCCCGTCTGTACTGGGTGAATGAACGAATCAATTTCCCAGGCAGTTTCTAAGTACTGGTGATTAACACATAACCCTCCAACCACAGGATTTCTAAAGCAGAACTCAAAAATGATAAACTGTGCTCCTCCAATTTCACCTGGCAGCAATACTCTTAAGGTAACACTCACCGGGCACTTTCTCCTAGCCTACTTTATTCATTCATTCGTTTGAGACGGAGTTTCGCTCTTGTTGCCCAGGCTGGAGCAATGGCGCGATTGGCTCACTGCAACCTCCGCCTCTTGGGTTCAAGTGATTCTCCTGCCTCAGCCTTCCGAGTAGCTGGGATTACAGGCATGTGCCACCATGCCCGGCTAATTTTTTGTATTTTTTAGTAGAGACAGGGTTTCACCATGTCCAGGTTAATCTTGAACTCCTGACCTCAGGTGATTCACCCGCCTCAGCCTACTGGAGTGCTGGGATTACAGGCGTGAACCACCACCCCTGGCCCTCCTAGCCTACTTTATTAAAAACAAACATTTAACTTGGTCATTTTCTCTCTTTACTACATGCCAAACAAAAGAAAAACTTGTTATCACCAAGTTTTACTCAATTTGAAGCTCTTTTTAAGTGAACTACAAAAAGATCACTCCCAAATATTTTCTTTTTTCCTTTTCTAGATTTGAACCCATGACCTGGATGCCTCCATTAACTGAGAAGTACACACTCTGAAAATAATAAACACACAGCAGCACCAGGCTGAGAAAGGCAGCTAATCAGTTCCTCAGTGCTGCCCTAGATCAAAGGAGGATAAATTTGGAGGCAATGACTTTTGACCATAAGGTTTAAGGTTCAGTCCTACGGAGGCATTTCCACCCCCAAGCTAAAAGCTGCAATGCCTTAAGGAAGTAAAACTACCTACTGGGCACGTGACGTCAGATTAAAATGAAGATCAGCTCGAAGACAGTGATGGCTTGTGGTATTTGAATAGCCCTACCAGAGAGCTCTATGCCAAAACACTAGAAGTGAAAAGCTGGGAAAGCCCTAAGCAAAGGTCCTCCTTTACATACAAGGATGCTCAGTCAGTCCCTTTGGGGAGCATGGTTGGTACTTGTCTTCACTGTACTTTACATCTTTTAATGTAACTGCTTAACCTTGCTTAAAACATTAACAGGCCAGGCGTGGTGAATCACACCTATAATCCCAGCACTTTGGGAGGCCAAGGCAGGCGGATCACTTCAGGTCAGAAGTTTGAGACCAGCCCGGCCAACATTATGAAATCCTGTCTCTACCAAAAAATATAAAACATTAGCCCGGTGGCTGGGCGCAGTGGCTCAAGTGTGTAATCCCAGCACTTTGGGAGGCCAGGGCAGGCAGATCACAAGGTCAGGAGATGGAGACCATCATGGCCAACATGGTGAAACTCCATCTCTACTGAAAATACAAAAAAATTAGCTGGGCGTGGTGGTGCGTGCCTGTGGTCCCAGCTACTCAGGAGGCTGAGACAGGAGAATTGCTTGAACCCGGGAGGCAGAGGTTGCAGTGAGCGTGATCTTGCCACTGCACTCCAGCCTGGGTGACAGAGTGAGACTCCTCTCAAAAACAAGCAAGCAAAAACCAAAAAAACACAACATTAAGAGGAATATCTCCATGATGAGATTAGAAACCATTTCTGAGCTGGGTGCGGCATTACACCTGTAATGCCAGCACTCTGGGAGGCTGAGGCGGAGGGACTGCTTGAGCTCAGGGTAACCAAGCAGGTAATCAACCTGGGTAATCAACCTGGGTAATCAACCTGGGTAACCTAATGATCTCTAAAAAACAAAATTTTTTTTTAATTAGCTGGGCATGGTGGTTCAGCGTAGTCTCAGCTCTGCAGGATTGCTTGAACCTGGGAGGCTGAGGCTGCCGTGAGTTATGATCACAACACTGCACTCCAGTCTGCACAAGCAAGCAAGACCCTGTCTCTAAATAAATAAACCGTCTTTGTTTCTTAAAACTATTTTTTACAGGGAAAAAACTTACTGGGCACTGTGGCCTGTGCCAATAAGCCCAGCTAGTCGGGAGGATCACTGGAGCCCAAGAGTTCAAGACCGGCCTGGGTAACAGTGAGACCCCATCTCAAAAAATGAAAATCTTTTATGTCAGAGCTTTCTATTTTATGACTTACCACATGCTTTCAAAGTGTCTCCCAGCCAATTATAAAAACACTCCCCAGTACTACAGAAAAGCTATCTATTAGTTAATCCCTGACCTACACAGCGTTTAAATGGACATGGTTTAACAGCAGGGTTTAGACACTGAACTATGTGTTCACGGTGATTTAGCTGTGTTCTCCCTCACATGAGCAGCACGCAAGCACCAGGTGCCTCGGGGCTACGGGCACAACCCGCTGTGTCTCCAAGTTACCTACAGCATGCTCTGGGAGCTGAGCCGGGAGCTGTCTCAGCTGTGCAGCCACGTATTCTTTACTATCACAAAAGGAATCGAGAAGACTGTCTGCGCCATCCTCCCCAAAATCTGGAGCACTGCTATTCTCCACTTCAGTTTCGTCTAGCACACTCATGTCCATCATGCCCATATTCTGCAGGTTCTCCAGACTTGCTTCCATGTCCTCCTGTAAAGAGGAAAAAGAGTCGTTAACGACCACCTGGACCAGGACAGGGAGCTGCTGCTTGTCGTCTCTACCCTGACATCACTTACCTGCCCGTCTCTGGAATCATCTTCCAGGCCGTTATCTTCTGTGCCTTCCTCCTCCATCTTCAGTCCTAATTACAGAATAATTGTTCAATCAGATAACACTCAAGTTCTACCTCATAATTAGTTTATGCAGAATAGATTTCAATCTTAGAACAGAACACATTACAAGAGAAACTAAGTCTCCCCTCTCCTGTCACACGTAATTTTGTCTCAATTTGTTTTCTTTTTTTTTTTTGAGATGGAGTCTCACTGTGTCGCCCAGGCTGGAGTACAAGTGGCATGATCTCAGCTCACTGCAACCTCCGCCTCCCGGGTTCAAGCGATTCTCCTGCTTCAGCCTCCCCAGCAGCTGGGACTACAGGCGTGTACCACCATACCCAGCTAATTTTTCTATTTTTAGTAGAGACGGGGTTTCACCATATTGGCCAGGCTGGTCTCGAACTCCTGACCTCGTGATCCACCCGCCTCGGTCTCCCAAAGTGCTGGGATTACAGGCGTGAGCCACGCCGCCCGGCCTCAATTGGTGTTCTAAGTAATACATCAATAGGGAGATGAAAATTAGGATTCCTGTTAGATTATCAGAGTAGTCTGATTTACCACAAAATATCTAAAAGTTTCCAAGTATTTCAAAAACACTCCAAACCTAAGAAAAAAATCACAAAAAAATGAACAAAGGATAAAAACAGGCATTTTGAACCAACAACGACAAAAAAATACAATACCCATCTAGTAACCAAAGAACTGCAACATAAAATATTGAGTTAGTGATTTGCTGGCTCTCCCTATATTCTACCCATTTCAAGTAGGTCTTTGTCATTTTTCAGCTCAAAAACTTTTTCCCCCCAAGGCAAAAGGCAAAGGCTGCCATAAAGTTGAGAATCATCCTGGGTTTTGTGACCACAAAATAACTATTTGATAGAATTCTGCTAGGTATTGCAAAAGGAGGCTGGAGGGGATCAAGAGAGGAAACCTTGAGAATAAACTTGAGGCTCCATATGTATCAAAAACCTTACTAATGTGCATACCCTTTATTCCAGGAATTTGAGTCTTAGGGTATCTGACAAGGAGTTCGACACATAGATATCTGTCCTATTGTACCTGTTAAACACCCAAAAGGGAAACAAATTACAGCACATTTTCATTCAGATGTGGTTCACAACCGGGGGAATGGCTGGCAATGTCTGGAGACACTGTTGGTTGTCATGACTTGGGAGAATGCCATTAGCATCAGCAGCTAGTGACACTGGTCACGACCCTACAATGCAAAGGATACTCCCCAACCACAGAGAATTATTCGGCCCAAATTGTCAATAGTGTCAATACTGAGAAACCCTGTGGGACACCATCCAATGTCTCACAATGTTTAAAGAATGTATGCTTTTAAAGAATATTTAATGAAACAGAAAAAATGCCCACAGTGTGGGCACGGTGGTTCACGCCTGTAATCCCAGCATGTTGGGAGGCTAATGAAGGTGAATCGCTTGAGCCCAGGAATTAAGAGACAAGTTCGGGCAACACAGTGAGACCTCATCTCCATCAAAAATACAAAAATTAGTCAGGCATGGTGTTATGCACCTGTACTCCCAACTACTGGCGAGGGTGCGGTGGGTGAGTGCTCTGGGCCTGGGAGCTTGAGGCTGCCACGATCATGCCACTGCCCTCCACTCTGGGCAACAGAGTAAGACTGTGTCTCTCTCACACACACACCCATAAAGAAAAATCAAACAGAAAAAAAGATACACGTTTCTTAAAAGCCGGTGTCTATTTGTATCCATGCGAGCGTATATGCGAGGATATGTTTATAAAATCCGGGTGGATAAGGCTAAGATAATCACCAACAATAGTTAAAATACTCAGGGGTAAGATTAGAGATAATTTTATTTTCACATGCATACTTTTTACATTTTCCAAATTATCTAAAAGTATTACTTCCAAAAATTGTTCAAAAAAGAAAATTAAACATAAAAAACCTGCAGGGTCTACAACTTAAGAGTCTCACTCACCACTGTTATCAATAATCACTCAAGAAATGCAGTTTAATTGCATGTCTCGCAACGTGAGCTTTTTCCAGTCTATCACTTAAGACGCCTAACAACGCTAGCAGGTTTTATGATCTGCGTTTGACACACGAGAATTTGGTTGGGCTCCAAAGCTGGCACTCTGAAACTCAGCTGTCCCACTTCCCATGACATCTAAACACAGCATTTCCTTTTGAAATACGTTGTCTAAAACTGTTTGGTAATTGCACCCAATTTCTAGGCCCTAAATAGTAGCCTGCAGTGCCCACATAGGACGGAAATAGGAGAAATGCTGACCAAGGAGCATCACCGAAAAGCTAATGTGGCGTAGACAGGCGACGCCCCAATCCCCAGCACCTGGCATTGGCCAGCGAAAAGCTGCCGCTGTCAGGGACACAGATGTAAGAAAATCCAACTTTAATCCCACACAGCATCTAAAACTTAAATTTTTAATCCAAGTTTTATTTTTTCCAAACCCACCTACAATGTTGCCTAGGACTCCTAATTTTGGTGAAGACTCTTACTCTGATTTATAATGAGGACACTTTCTCTCAACAAGTTTGGCTGCTTCAATTCTTGCAACAAAGCAGTTACTGGTGAGTTCCCAGAATGAGTCCAACTTTGGACTCAACTGAACGCTGCTGCATAGTGCTCGAAAAGAAAAGTAATTGAGTGTCTCCTGATCTAACAGCTGTATGTAATAACAGGCCCCAACTGCAACCACAAAGTCCTAAGGCACTTGCGCTTTATCCATTAGCCAGGTGCCCTGACATCTCTAGAGAACATCAGCAGCTCAGGATGGAAGATGAGGCCCGCAGGGGATGAGCTCCACCTGAAGACCTGGGCTCTCTCTGGGCTTGGTTACTTCTCTGAAAAAGGAATGGGAAGCTATCAGAAGCCCTTCTAATCCTCACTAGAGCTGAGGCTACATATATCATTTTTAAAGCAACAGACGAACTTTATCATCCAAGCTTTCCTGTCAAAACACTAACTCCAAGTAGTTTTGAATCGACCTAAGCTTTAATCTAGGCATTCAGGCAGGTCTTCAGAGCACTCAGCTAAAGTTTAGTTTTTCTAATGATGCAAAGATCATTAGAAATGATCCCTGCTAGGCCAGGCACAGTGGCTCATGCTTGTAATCCAAGCACTTTGGGAGGCCCAGGCGGGTGGATCACCTGAGGTCAGGAGTTCGAGACCAGCCTGGCCAACATGGTGAAACCACGTTTCTACTAAAAATACAAAAAATTAGCCAGGCATGGCAGCGGGCGCCTGTAATCCCAGCTACTCGGGAGCCTGAGGCAGGAGAATTGCTTGAACCCGGGAGGCAGAGGTTGCAGTGAACCCAGACGGCACCACTGCACTCCAGCCTGGGCAACAAGAGCGAAACTCCATCGCAAAAAAAAAAAAAAAAAAAAATTCCCTGTTAAATTCCTGCTAAAAGCCAAGGATAGTTTGAGTAAGTCTTGAACTTTACAGTTTTAAAATGAGCACCTACATAAAAAAACTTTTAAACTTTATTGTTAAGCAGTTTTCCCAACCATTAAAAAAAAAAAATTCAGATCATGCATAAGTTAACACCTAAGCAGAAGAGATAAACTGTATTTCCTGCTGTAGACCAGTCTCTCACATTCTGAATCTGCACAGGCAGTCAGGCCTTCTAGCTGAAATACTGACAGTCAGAAGAACAATAAAAACACATCCATGTTTCAAAAGTAAACTTTAACTTCAAGCTCTTATGCAACCTAACTAAAAGATTTAACCTTTCAAACCACACGCACACGTTTTAAACAGTTAATGTGTTATGAAACACATTAAGAAAAAGCTGTTAAAAAAACAACGAAATTGTTAAAAATGCACAATTTCTATTTTCTAAGCACCGATCCTCCACTGCCTGAATTTAGCACTTTTCCAAGAAAACAGGCCCCCTGCACAGAAAACCTAAATTATATTATTATAATATTATTATAATATAATAATAAAGGATAAATTACATTATCCTTATCACCATAAAACCTAACAATGAGGACAATACCAATTGGGATATTCAAAGCTTCAAACTTTTATGGAATTCAATGCTTCCAAAAATAACTGGTATCAGCCATAAACAGGAATGAAGTATCAATACATGTTGCAACACAGATGAACTTTAAGCATTACGTTAAGTGAAAGCTGATACAAATGGCCGTATGTTGTACAATTCCATTTACATGAAATATCCACAATAGGCAAATCTATGCCGACAGAACATGGATTAGTAGTTGCCAGGGGCTGGAGGGAGAAAAGTAAGGCAACTAACTTCTAATGAGGACCGGGTTTCCTTTTGGGGCGGTGAAAATCCAGAAGAATACGGTGGTGGTGGACGCAGAGCCTTGTGTATGCACTAGGAAGCACTGAATTGCACACCTTAACCTGATAAATTTAACGGTCCTGTGAATTAAATCTTCACATTCAAAAACCGTAATAGTAAAAAAATAGGCTGAATGCAAATACCCCAACAATCTATTCTGGACCCTAGCAAAGCTGAGTTTATTCAGTCTCGGGTTGGTGTCCTTTTCCTTGCGTTAAGATCTCTTTTTTGAAACAGGAAGGAACATTTGGTTCCTCAGACCCGTAGAAGTAGCTTTAAGAGCTTGTCTTTCTCTAGTTGACTTTTAATCCCAATGGCAGAAGCTGAAACGTTTTTCGTATATTTTAACTGCACTTGGCACCCGTACATCTCTTTCCTCCTCCCTGTGCTCTTGACACAGCTACTTGTTAGGTGGTGATGAGCAAAGCTAACTCTTAGTGGGAGACACCAAGGACCAGAGAAGTTCTCCCAGCCTAGAGGGCGGGAAGAGCACTACACACCATTTCTCTAAATTCTCTAAACACTCAAGCCCCAAGCATCATATGTACAAGTAAATACCTTTAACACATCTCTTGGCTGACTTCTTGCTGCTGGCTTCTAACTCGATGCCAATTTCATCAGGATCTTGCCCCTCTTCTTTAACCGCCTATTAGGGACAGATGAGTTTTACAACATGATTAAGAGCTGCAGGGCACACACTGTTCCTTACAAGTAACAACCTCCCATGAAACAAAGGCAAACGCGTCCTTGTAGAGAGCAACTCCGGGTCAGCTATCTGGGCCGCAAGCCCAAAAGGCGGAGGAGGAATCCCGCACAGCTTGGATCTCTCTGGGTCCAAATGACAAAGGAGAGGGAGGCTGCGAGCAGGAGCTCCAGAACTGGGGTCAAGGACCAGTTCCAAAACGGCAACTCAACTCGACACTGCCCAACCTTCGACTTTAAAGTTATGTGATGGGACAAATCAGAACAGAGAGGCTGCACTTGGCCCGGCCTCGGTGAAGGGCTGGCCACCGCTGGTGAGGAGGAACAGCAGCCACCCTGGGGAGATTCAACAGGTCCCTCAGTGCCTGCCACCTGCCGGGTCCAGGACTGGGCACCCACAAGCTCCCTCCCTATGCTGAAGGAGTTTCTTCCAGTTGTGGAGACAGACAATCCCCAACCACTTAATATCTTGCATTTAGCCCCTGCATTCAGCGAGGTACGACATAAACGCAGAATGAGCTGGCAAGGAGGTGCGGCGGCGCATTAGGGAGGGCGCTCAGGAAGGTGATGTCTCAGGCACACCCGAAATGACAAGGGGCCGGCCACGAGATCTGGGGGACACGGGTGGACAGCTTCGTAAATGCTAAGGCCCTGGGGCAAGAACAAGCACCGCCCCCTTTCCTGTAAAAGCTCAGGAGTCCGCCAGACACCCATTCTCCGGAGAAGGAAACTGAGGCACAGAGAGAAAAGCACCTGCCCAAGGTCACAGAGCCAAGGCTCGAAATGGAGCCCCAGGAGGGGTCCCGGGGCCACCCTGGTAGCCGAGAAGACCGGACGCTGAGCGCGCTTAAAGAGAAAAGGTGGAAGGAGAATAGGAAGGAAGGCACAGAGAGGGGCGGTAACGGGCCAAGGTCACACAGCGGGCCCCCTGGGTGCCCGACACCTCGAGTCGGGGTCGGCCAAGACGCGGGTCGGGCCCGGGGCGCCCCGAGTCCGGGAGCCGCGGTGACAGGTACTGGCGGGGGCGTGCCCAAGCCTCCTGCGCCACCCCCGAGCCCCGCGCCGCCTAACCTTCTTGAGCCGCTCCATCAGGACGCTCTTGTTGCCGCCCGTGTCTAGGTTCCGCTTCTTCAGCTCCGCCCGCAGATCGATCACCCGCAGCTCGCTGAGTCGCCTCGTCCCAGTCTCCGCAACGCCCAGGCCGAGAGCAGCCGTGCCGGGGCCCGAGTCGCCCGACCCAGGCAGAGTCTCCGCCATCGTCACGTTCCCGTCTCCGCCACCGACTCAGCCGCACACCGCCGGCAGCTGGAGCGGCTCTGAACACAAAATGGCGCCGCCTAAGAGGAAAACGCACTCGTTTCCTCCCGCCCCGCTTTGCGGCCGCGCACGCGCACGCGCACCGCCTCACGAGCGCACTTAGCAGCAAGGACGCTCGCGCGTCGACCAACCGCGCGTTTACCGGCACCACGCGCAGGCGCCGAATCTGCAGCTCGCATGCGTCCCGGCAGTTCCCGGCGGGAGGCTGGAGAGACGCAACGCGACTGCGCACATCCCCGCGTTGTTCTCACTGCGCATGTGCAGTTGCAACCGGGATAGTCCAGCTTGCGCTTGGTGCGCCTGCGCAGAAGCGAGGCGCGCCGGGGCGACTGGAGCGGTTCCCTCGCAGGCGGCGCCATTTTGTGCTAGGAGCCTGATAAAACCGGCCCGGTTCTGTGGAAAGTGGGCGGCGGAGCCAGGGTCCCTGGAATGGCGGAGACTCTGTCAGGCCTAGGAGATTCTGGAGCGGCGGGCGCGGCGGCTCTGAGCTCCGCCTCGTCAGAGACCGGAACGCGGCGCCTCAGCGACCTGCGAGTGATCGATCTGCGGGCGGAGCTGAGGAAACGGAATGTGGACTCGAGCGGCAACAAGAGCGTTTTGATGGAGCGGCTAAAGAAGGTGGATTTGGGGCCCCGAGGGGGGGGCACAGGGTGGGTTTGGGATCCTCTTGGCCGCGACGGTGGCTCGCGGGCCCTGGCGTCCGCCCCCGGCCCCGTTCGCGGCCTCCCCGGACCTGGTGTTCTCGCGTCCCCCGGCTCTTCCCAGGCCCCGGCGAGAGTTCCTTGGCCGGCTGGGCCTGGGTTCAAATAGTAACGCCGCATTGGGGCCGGGAGAACCAGAAAAACGGCGCGCGTGCAGGAGAAGCGGCGACGGGTGACATCGTCCCCCGAGAGGAGGGTTCTCCCCTCGTCTCGTCCCCGCCTCCGTACCTGGAGGGGAGACCCTGAAACGTTCACTTCCTAGGCGAGGGGAAGGGACTCGGCCAAGGTCACACGGCCGAGGACGGGCGGCGTCGGGATTTGAACCCAGGCCGTGGGAGTCCTGGGCCTGCTGCTTGGTTTCCCCAGGGAAGAGATTTTGTGGCCCACGGGGGACCGACCAGCCTGAATCGGGGCAGATTTTCAAAGGAGACACCCGTAGGACATACTCCAAGCGAAAAATAGGAAAAACGACCACAACCCCGTTTTCCCGTTTTGCCGGTACTCGCCCGGTGAAGTAACAGGGCAGGAAGGAAAAGTGGGATTGACGATAGCGACCCGAAATGTGAAATGAGGGGAGACCCGGGGTGGACTTTAAAACCAGCCTCAGAACTGCCCGGGAGGCGGGCAGAGCCTGGACTTCCCCTGGTCCATCAGTGTCTCTGGACTCGGGAACCCTGCCAGCTCTCCGTGGCCTGATCTTGGGCATAGAAGACCTTGAACCCCTTCTGAGTCCTTTTTATTTTATTTATTTATTTTTTCTCTCTCTCTGTAAGAAGAAAAAAAGCAATAGGACTTTGGTTTGGGGATTAAATAAGGTTGCGTGGAAGCAGGCTTGGCGTGCTGCCTGGCGCATGTAAACACTTCGGTGTGTGGTTGCCATCACGATTCCCTTCTCCTCTCTGTGCCACCACGAGTCCTCATTTGCAGATCGGGGGCTCTAACGCCTACCTTGGGGGATTCAAAGGGATCCCTTGGAAAAGCAGAGAGTCAAGTAAAGGTTAGCCGCCTGCGGTTTCCTTATTCCTGTCGGTTTCTTTCTCTGCATTTCTTCCACCTGGCTACTCTGGGACCTCTCTCCCCTGTAGTCGCTCCGCCTGGCCGCCCACCCTCCCAGGCCCTGCAGGCAGTGGGGCTGGTGACGACATTCCACCATCCTGGCTCCGGAACTACGGAGATCGCAGGGCTTTATTATTAATTGGTGATGAGAAGTAGGGATTTTTTTTTTTTTTTTTTTTTTTTTCCTGATGAGAAACCCTGGGCTCGAGTGGATAGTTGTCTTGGCCAGAGTCACATGGGCCTTTTAAAAGCTCAAACTTGGGTTTCTTTTCACTGTGGATTCTCTCTTTACTCAGACAAGGCAGGAAGTTCATTGATCTACATATTTACCCAGAGAAAACGCAGACAGTGGAGATTGGCGGCCTCCCATCAGCTAAGCCAAATTAAAAGGCTTTATCCTTTTTTTCTCCCCGGACGGTCCATAGGCCTGAAAAGCTGCTGTGATGGCACTGAACCTTCCTGTCAAGCTGGTGACTGAGACTTCCCATCACTCACTGTCATCTCTGAGAGCACAGATTTGTTCCTTCTTCCTTCTCCTTTTCATTTTCTTCAAGATGTGGTCCCAAAACACGAATACTGCCAGCCCATATCCCTGTCTGCTACTCACCCAAGCCAGTCTGGAGTTTTCTGATCTCGTTCTCTTCCCGTTTCTGTCATCCTGTTGTTGTCTCTTTCTTGGTTTATTTTTCCAGGAAGGGCAAAAGAGCAAAAGGGGGAAACGAAACACCTGCCTAGGGCATTGCTTCTCTTTTCCTAGTGGTGTTTCAGAATTGCCTGTCCCCGGGAAAAGGATGAGGGACTTGGAGATTGTACTTTTCCTTAATCCCAGGAAAGAACTTCAGTCCCTTTTCTGGCTTCTGAGAGGAGAGATTTTTGTTGCTGCTGGTAAAGATGAGTTGTGGAATCCCCAGGCCCTATCTCAATTCAGACTTACCCACCTGGGAAACTTCGAGGGTTCCAAACCTCTGCAAATAAAACAGTACATGAAATGATGTGAACAAAACTTGTGCTCATGGGACAGGAGAGTAAAGACTGGAAAAGTTATCAGTAAAACTTAACCTGAAGCTAAGTTTCTAGCAATGTCATCGTGATTGACGTGTTCTGTACTGATGGCTTAGTTGATGCCAGGCACTGTGCTGAGGATGGGCATTGTTGAAGTGAATGACAGAGTCCTGGGGTGGGAGGCTGGGCGTGCCAAGAAATTGTTAATATCTGATGAGGCACAATCACGTAGTGGTTGAGAATGAGGTATTGGAGTCAGTCGTGAATGTACATGATGGGGATCGGATAAGGTCATGCATGTCGTGACTGGTCTCGTGTGTAACACACAGTAGGATCCCAACCAGTGAGTGTTAGTATTCCATCCACACAGTACTGAGTACAGGCACGGCGTGGAGGGAGTCCCTGGAGGGTTAAAGAGTATTTTGTGAGTAAAGTCAGAAGAAATTGGAGAGTGTGCCTTTCCCTTTTTGAGTTCTTCTGGGCTTAGGAAGAAGATGAACCAGATAAGCCTACTGTTTGTTGAATGCTTCCTTTTCATGGCTAATAGAATCCTCACAACAGTCTTCCAGGGTAAGTACTATATTATTATTAGCCGCATGTTCCGGAGGAAGAAGCAAAAACTGAGCACCTAAGCAAACCCGCCTGGGACCACCCAGCTAAGAACTGGTGGCGTCAGTCGGTCTCCAGTGTAGAGCAAGATAACAGATGAGTGGATGGGCCACAGGCCCTGGGCGGTGAGGGCGGCAGCAGCTTTTTGATCTTAAAAATACAGTTTCCTTGTCACCTAAAGGCTCTCTGAAAGCAGTGTGTGTGCTGGCTTTTTGGATCAACTTTACTTTTCCCTTCTTTTTAGGCAATTGAAGATGAAGGTGGTAATCCTGACGAAATTGAAATTACCTCCGACGGAAACAAGAAAACATCGAAGAGGTCCAGCAAAGGTATGGAGGATTTCATAAGCAAGTTTCATGTTAAGTGCTTTCTTCAAAACAAATTCATTGCTAATGTGCCTCATGTACTTGTCTGTGCATTGGCCTTGTGAACCACTCTGAACTGGGAGCCTTCAGCGAAGCTTTGCATTTTCTTTAAAGATCTCTCTACTGTGTTTTGTTTCCTTGGTATCTGGGAATTACAACAGGATGGAAGGAGTATTTGCCCCTTATTCATTTTCCTCTGTAGATTGTCAGCAGTCCTTAAGTAAGGAGTCTTTCAGGAGTCAGTCACAGTGGCGTGTGCCTGTAATCCCAGGCGACTCGGGGCTGTGGTAGGAGGATCACATGAGCCTGGGAGTTCAAGACCAGCCTGGGCAACATAGCAAAACCCAACTCTACAAAAAAAAACTTTTAAAAGGCCAGGTGTGGTGGCATGCATCTGTGGTCCCAGCTGCTTGGGAGGCTGAGCCGGGAGGATTACCTGACCCCCAGGAGGTTGAGATCAACTTGGGCAACACAGCGAGACCCCCATCTCCACCAAAAAGAAATTAACCAGGCATGATGGCATGCACCTGTGGTCCCAGGTACTTGGGAGTTTCAGGAGGGGGATCACTTGAGCCCAGGAGTTCAAGCCTGCAGTGACCTATGATTGCACCACTGCACTCCAGCCTGGGTGACAGAGCAAGACCCAGTCTCTTTAAAAAAAAAAAAAATGCTGGGTACAGTGGCTCACACCCGTAATCCGAACACTTTGGGAACCCAAGGCAGGAGAATAGTTTCAATCTAGGAGTTTGAGACTAGCCTGGCCTGCCTCTATCCACCGCCAAAAAAAAAGTAACTAGGCGTCAAGACACGCCTGTTTTCCTAGCTACTTGGGAGGCTGAGGCGGGAGGATCATTTGAACCCAGGAGTTCAAGGCTGCACTGAGCTGTTATGGCATCACTGAACTCCAACCTGGAGTCCACGAAGTATTTAGGACTGCCCGAGCCTCCTATTGCTTGGACTTGTAGAAAATAACATTCCTTTTAAATATCACTTGGCTCAAACAGAACTGTCACTTTAACATTTCTTTTAAAAACTGCTTATACAGTAAAAGTTACATTTCACATGACATGACTCTCACCATCTTACCCAGATCTCTCTCGCCCATCCCCCACACCCTGTGCTTTGTTTGTGTGTCAGGCCCCAAACAAATGATTTACTCTCCTGGTTCTCTGTGACGTCGCTCTGCCCACCCTTCCCCATCTGTCTGCCTTAGAGACCTAGTTCCTCAAAAGACAACTGATCCATCCCACCAATAGCAGCTCGTCTCCTTGGGTTCTCTGTCTTCCCGTGGCATAGTTCCTTATACCTTGGTTTAATATTTATGTCATCTTGCCTTCTGTCAAGACCAGATTGTTGAGGACTAGGGCTGTATCTTGTTTATGTTTCTTTCCCCTGCAATGGTTTAACTTGGTAACACTCAACTAATGGCTTAAGAATCAGCCAAGGTAGGGCGCCATGGCTCACGCCTGTAATCCCAGCACTTTGGGAGGCTGA